TGTGAGTTCCTAGTCTTATGCTAGATAGACAGCTTGGATAGAAGGGGGTAAGTAAAGAATTTAGGAAGGGGGCAGATCATAGACTCATAGACTGAAAAGAACCCCAGAGTCCCCATCCAAGCTGGGGCCAGTGTGGTTTCTACGGACAATTTGCAGGAAAAAAAAAAATTTCCGGCCTGTTGGTAATCTACACATAACTATGCAAATCCAAGAACTGGTCCTGATGTCTAAGGACATGGATCTAATAACTAATTCAGTCGTCTTCAAAAAGTCACTCATGTAATTGCCATGCAAATTCTGATTTTGTTATTTAACCATGTAGCTATCATGTAGAAGAGAGAATGCTTTTAAAATGTATTGTGAATGAATTGTATGCATTTTTCCCTAAAAGATACCATGTAGGTAATCAATATAAATTACACTGAGCGTATGTGTTCAACAAACATATTAACTTTCATTCATTGAAATTTTAATGTGGATATGTGGGATGCTAAGGCTTATCATTTCCAATATTATAAGTATCTATTACAGATACTGGTCTTGATGCTTAGTTTAAAAAGAAAGGAAACTCTTTTGAGAGTTCAGTGCACTGGGAATTTCTACCAATATTTCTCTTCTAAGGTAAAATGTTACATGTTACCTGCATATTGTTTGTTGCATTCTAAAAGTTCTCTGTTTTCTCTTTTTAAAACTGCATGTGTTTTCCCCACACTGAGAACAGAGAATGTTAATTCAAATGTAGCATGGGATGTCTGCCTATTGATATTTCCACGTGTACTGTATGTGAAAATGTCGTCTGTGAAGGAAAAGTTTAAAGAATGAATGTGGGTATTTTGCTGTTAAACTAAATGTGGTTTATTTTCTGCTTGTTTGAGAAAACGCTGGAGAATAAGGTTGTATGAAGGTGTCTATACTCCCTATTCTAGTGGTTTGCCGTCCATGTTCTTGCCGTATTCCTGGCCTTTGAAAAATCAATGGGACAAAACTCCAACTTTTCTTTAAAGCTTAAGCAGACTAGATTGTAGATGTGTTCAAAACATTTGGACATTGGTTATTTTGATTTACTTTAAAGCACCCTTCAAAATATTTTAATTATTAATCCTGCAGAAAACCCTCTATTTGGTTTTTTCCTTCCTCTTGGTTTTTTACAACAGGAAATATTCAATGTCAAGAAAAGTACCATGCCATTATCCAAATTATCTTTTAATTAGTACCAGTTTAAACATTGATTACATTGAAAATCATTTCATTTCAGCCACAGCGTCCTGTGTTTACTCATGAAAACATTCAAGGTGGGGGGGAACCGTAAGTATTCTTCTTATCTTCTAAATTCAAGACTAACCTTGACCCACAAAGTGGAAAATTGATGTACCAAAATGTAAGATGGTACAACTTGGCAAGGGAAAGAGATCAAAGTCACTACCATGAGACCTCCTAAATTAAGAGAAATTGCAATAGTCCCCATCTTTTATGACAGGATCAGAAACTAATTTTAAAAAGAAACCCATGGTTTTACAAGAAGGTTTTAATTTATGCACTAGAAAAACCTTCCAATGCTTCAGTGATTCCTAAGATTTACTCCTGACTCCTCTGCTCTGCCGGCCGTGTAACTAGTAACTACAGCTTTAAAGACACACAGAAATATTCTCGCATTGTTTTTATATCTATTTGGAGACCGTAAAGGTAGGTCTACATGTAAAAACAGACCTAAAGTGATGTTAATAACATAATTCCAAAGTGACATGCTCAGAAGGACCTTCTGAAAAATGACAATGTTAAAACACTCACTGTCACTCAGTTACGTCCAATTCCTTCCACTGCACCAGGACAATGCCTTTTTGAACTTCCTCTTCAAATTCTCTCTCCTTTCTGATAGATAAGTTAAATCAACCTGAAGGTGTCACACATTGTCTTTAAGATTCTCTTTCTGTGTGTGTCTTTTTCGGCCCCGTTTTGTCCGTGAAAGGTGTTCAGGGGTTGTGCACTTCTCCTGGCTACTGCCTGTCCTGTGAGTCAGGAGCTAGACCCTGGGAAGGTGCACTCGTGGACCTAAACCGTGCCAGGCGCGCCCCAGCACACACAGGGAGTCCCAGGCCACCGCCACACTCTGCTCACCTGGACTCTTCCTCGTGGCAGGTCCTGGCGAGTGGCCGGGTCCCTCCTCAGTCCTCACGGCCCTGAAACTTAGCGACTCTCGCTGAGCAGAGTTCAGCCAGAAAGGTGTTCTTGTTGAGGGAAAGTCTTCTGTAGTAGAAAGAACAGGTTAGAAGTAATAATGATTTAAAATGTGATTTAAAACTTAATTGGAAAACTTTAAATATGACTTGTAATTCTAAAGTCTTTGTTCTCTTATAAACACAAATGATGATAGGATCATGTCACAAAAAATAAATTCCAGGGCGATTTAGGTTTATTGCATCACCAGCATTTTATATTAAACAGCTCTGAAGGAGTTTATGAATGCAAGCGTGTGTTCTATCACACCGTTTTGTGTGATGTGGAGTTAACACATCCTGCATGGTCATTTGGTTGTTAAGAAACCACAGAGGCCACAGGTGGGAGGGAGACACATTTTCAAAGTCCTGCTTTGGACATTGCAGAAACATTCTTTGTTAAGTTTCTATTTGATTACAGCCTGAATTCGTGGGATTACAGGGTGTCGCTTAATCTCTTTGTTTTAAAAAACAGAATAGGTTTTGTGTGAAAGAAGGAACATAATGTTATGTCACTACAATTCAGAGTTTCGGTGAAATCAGTTCTGGAAAAAGGTGCAAGTTGTAGAGAGGGTTTCTAGTTTGGCTTAGCATTTCCTCCTGGAAAGACAGATTTCTTTTTGAGGCGTCCTGACCCCACCGCCATCATTCATCTCACCACCACATCTTTCAAAACAGCATTTTTAATTGCAATTCGACTACATTTCCTGTCGTGCAACACTGATTTTGAAAGCCAGCAGAGGTAGGAGGATTTCCGGAGGGTTTATGTTTCCATAAAACTCCTTTTTGTTTTTTGTTAGAGTTTTTTTTTTTTTTTTTGGTGGACTAATTAAATCAGAATGGTAAGTAAATTTAGACAAATATGCTGGCTTTCGTCATACAAAAATAAAGTGTGAGTCCGTGCCAATTTTGGTTTCTCAACTCTTGGGACCTTTAGATTCTTCAAGCAGCTGGGGTTTGTGGTCTTTAAGGAGGCCCTGTCCCCACAAGTGGCTGGAGAGGTGCCCGGGTGAAGGGTGATGGCTGAAGCCTGAGAAACTCAATCAGAGAATCAGTTGTCCTGAAGTGAGAGGTGCTGTGTATATCCATCGAAATAGCAGCCCAGGAATGACCAGCTCTCTCAAAGGTGCAATTGGAAAAGGGACCGTGTAGGAAGCTATATCCCAGCTTTCCTCCGGGATATACAAAAAATATCATCCCTTCACCCAAGCGGCTCCACGATCAAGTCCTTAACACAAACCACAGGTTAATTTGCCTACTCCTATTAAGGCTGGTACCACGCGAACATCCCCATCAGGTAATGTTTGTTTGCAACACCTCCCTGTCTCTTTCACCGCTGCTTTGGGACTCCGGCACTCTTCTGCACCCGTCCCCACGATCAGAATCCTCTCTGTCTACAATAGACCTCAGAAAGCCCATTCTCAAAAGAAGATAAGTGGCTAAAAAGGCTTACTAGAAGGACAAAGTATTAACAGGGGAAGAATCTCTACTGTGGGAATTTCAGGCTTTGGCAAAGGCCAGGGAAGACAATGTTTTCTAAGAAAGGATGTTAGGCACCCCATCTTATTAACATTGTTCCAGACTCCCCCAAAGTCAACTTTATACAAGTCCATTAATCTTAAAAAGTTCACAGAGAGGGAAGCCAGTGGATCAGTGTTTCTTATTTATGACATGATATTGGAGTACAAGCAATAGAAGAGTTTTGTTCTACCAAAATATGATATTCTGACTCAATAAAGTAATTAGAAATAAATCAGTCTCGTTCCAGAGTAGCATTTAATATTATCAACTTTTTAAAGTTGATGTAAAAAAATATAAAGCTCCCTAGAATATGGTTCTTATTTTCTTACATTAGCAGAATCACATAACTGTTATGAAAAGCAGAAGAAACAAATGCACCCATTTTTTTTTAAATCCCTCTCACAGTACTAGTATTGTTTCAGTCATATAATGAAGAAGTTTGCATGTTACGTGCATGTCAAATTCCTCCTGACCTTGTCAGCTGCTGTCATTTCTGTCCTCACTTTCCTAAATGCCAGTCTATTCATTCAAGTATATGCTACTTTATTACCACAGATTCATTACTGATCAGTGTCACCATAATATATGCTCTCAGAGAATTTGGCCAGGGAGAGTAAAGTGGTAGCATTCTATCAGTAATTAATTCTTCTTTATATAAAATTATTTTGAGAAGGAGTTTTAAAATCAAACACAATTTCCCCAGGACCCACTTTTTAAAAGGAATTTACGTCCATAATCTACGTTTGAGATTGACTCAATGTGTGTTGATAACTGTGTGTAGAATTCATCCACTCAACTTCGTAGGTGAATTGCATCAAATTTTCAAATTCTAAATCTTCAGGAAACACTAATTTAAATGGATTTAAAGAATTCATCTTGGTGAAAAATGATCATCCCTTTTATTGTGATTCCCATATAGTGATGTGGAACACATGTGTCTGAGACATGTTGTGTATCCCAATTTAGAACCATTTGAAATTTCAATTTTCAAGCCTCAATTATTTGCTTCTGATGATGGCTAGCTAAAAATGTGATTCCTTCTTGTTTTTATATAGCTGAATAATGCAAATATCACTTATTTTATATTTCTGTACTATCATGTAATGTCCGGGTGATGGACATTATATTGGACAATTAAAATGCAGGTCTGACTTAGAAATGTTAAAATATTATAATCTGATTCATGTATGTTACAAGTTTTCATGAATATTCCTCGTTGTGAGTTTCAAAATGTTATTAGAGTGGTCTAATTTCTATGAAAGTCTAAATATTGCTTATTTATTTTACATGCTTACCAGACTTTCACTACCCAATATCATATGTTGATAAAAATAGAAACATTAAGGGTAAAATGAATATTGTGCTTTCTTCTACAGTTTCACAAAGATGTAAAGATTTTTTTAAAACACGCTCGTTTGTCCCGTTTAAGGTTTCAGGCTCTGTATAACTATACTCCTAGGAACGAAGATGAGCTGGAGCTCCGAGAAAGTGACGTCATTGACGTGATGGAAAAGTGCGATGATGGGTGGTTTGTGGGTATGTGTCCATCTTTTCAGACACATTTGGCTATTTTATAATTTGCTGAGTTTGTTCACTTGCATGGTTTGCTGTGATAGTCAAGCTTTCTTTCGAATTCATAAGGCCTTTGATCTTTCATACATCCATATGCACAATGTAATCCGAAGGCTACTGCGTTTTTAATATAGTTTAGTATCTACTTCTTTGGGTGTATGTGATTTTCTGCTAGTTTTATTTCCAACTCAACGGAGAGAAGAAAATGTCTTTAAATGGCACCAACCTGAAAAGACTGAGATCTAAGAACAATAACAACAAAATTGTCCCCAGATGAGAAATATCGACGCTCTGTTCCATGGAAAATGTTAGTTATCCTCAGTGAGGATCTAATTTGAAAGGGAGCAAGATTATGTGAAAAACTCATTTACTAGGTCTGATGTAGGTGCCCTAAAAGTCCAATGACTCACCTTAGCTTTAACTTGTGATAGAAGTGGAGAGACGTTTCATTCTTCCCACTTAAAAGGAAATCCCATTCTTACCATCTTGAAAGAAGACAAGAGGTTTTCTGAGAAAACATTCATAGACAAAAGTTATCACACACTGGGACACAGAGGAAACACGTAAAAGAAAAAAAAATACAGGCACAGGAGGATGCAGAAGAGAAAAGATAAGGAAATGTGGTCTTTCTCCAGACACATCCATTAGCGGCGAAATAATGAAATAACTGAGGCCACATTGCAGACACAAGCCCCTGGTTCTACTTCCATGAATTCCCATCTAGCAGCAGAGTAAACTGGCTTACCAACCCAGGGAGCAAGGGGAACAGTCATCAAACCAAGACAGTAAGTTTCAGAGTATAAAGGAGAGAGGAAGCTTTAGAGACCCTCTTCACTTTATCTGTGCTGGAAATCCTAAAGAAGAATTTAGTGCACCAACCTTTACAAAAAGTTTCCAAGGGATGATGTTGTTTGCAACGAAAGAGAATTATGATGATGGTCATTTGTGCGTTGGGTTTAACACTCACATTAGAAATCCTGCCCAGTAATAGAACCCCACCCGAAAATGGTAGTTAAGCTTCTTTTTTTCGTTAGTGACTTTGTGAATTGTTCAAAATTTCTCTATTTTATGAGGGGCCCTGGCCTCATAAAATAGCGCTATTTTTTTTTTCCACTTACAGAATTAGAAAAGCCCAGTGCTATTTTTAAATGAGTGATGTAGCATTGAGCGTGATCTTCTATGAGATAATAAAACTGTTTTGACAGTGACAGTGTCCCTGATAATGGCTTAATGTCACGCCCGTGTCAAGGGAGCCTCTGGCCGCTGGGCAGCCCTTGCCTTAGGATTTTCCACTCCTCCTATCACCCTGCCAGCCTCCCTCCTTGCTCCTCATCCTCACTCCTCTTCTGCAGCTGCAGGCTGAGTTCTACCACCCACCTCCTCCGGAGGACCCTCCTTCCCTTTAGATTGCCAGGCTGAGGCTGAGTGTGGTTTAGCCTGACATGAGGGGGGCACATCACTTAGGCAGCAAACACTGCTTCTCCTGTCTTCCTGTCTTCCTGACGTGTCTTGTCTTCCTTCTGCTCCCAAACCCCTGGGGGTTGCTCTCTTAATGAAGCCTTGTAAATGGGACGTGCTCAAGCCCACGTATAAGAACTGATACTTCATCCTTGTTACCCTCCTTTCATTTATTGCTTCTATTTTCAGGAACCTCAAGAAGAACCAAATTCTTTGGTACTTTTCCCGGAAACTATGTCAAGAGGCTGTGAATCACTCTCCCTCCTTATTTATGCTGCATTTCAGCAACGCATCTTCATACGCTTGTCTTCATACGCTCGCCTGACACATGCCGCAGGCCTCCCGTCGCCATGCCTTATGGTTTCCAACTCGCCATCACCATCATCACCTGCCACCAAACCACCAGCAGAGTACCCGCCACCGCCGGCCTGGGGGAGATGCGCACACTGGCCTCCATGAGAAAGCGCGTAGGGCTGCTCTCTGCTCTAAACTTTGAAAAGTCGAAATGTGAGATCACAAAAAAAAAAAAAAATCATTATACTTAGATTAAAATATTTAAGGATTTAAACAAACAAACAAAAAGTCTCCAAGAGGCTCTCCAATCTCATGGTCATATTTCAACATCTCTGGAAGGTGTTCTCCCCTCAGGCAACCAGAAGATTGTGTATTAGGAAATGTGGTGGTTTGCGTTTTCACATTCTTAGCTTGGCAGTGTATTTTCCTTTCACGAGTTTGCCTAGTGTCCTGGTTTACACAATATGACAACTGTACTTCAGCTATTGTTTGCCTGCACTTATATGTTGTAATATGCACAGTGATTACAACCTCTAGGGCAAGAGTAGGAAAGTTAATTTGGATGAGTGCGATTTTGTTGATTGAATGTGAGTTTTCAAATAGGAGTCTTTTCCTGCAATTTTTTTGTACTTTTTAGAACTGCAAACAGTCAGTGAATAAGAGCCTTTGGTAATAATCATGAGAATACAAGAGGTTTAGTTAGACTACAGGGGGGAAAAAAGCTATTGTGTTGTAAAGTTGCATTGCTATTTTATATTAAAATGTAATAATTAGCATCATGAACAATGAATTCTTAGTGTTTTATTTATCTGATAAAATTTAAGTAAAAGCAGTGTTAGTGAGAGGTGCAAAGAATTATTCTAACATAGACACTTGAAAGTATCAGTAAGCAATACTAGTGGGTAAGATTTCACTGTGTGTACACATACACATTTGAGATTGTATGAAAACATATAGTCCATATGATATGTTGTACATTTTATGGAAATGTAAAAGAGTCCTACACATTATTTTATAGAAATAGAGTACAGAACCATCACAGGTATTAAGGTTGGCTTTAGCAAGGATTATGATCAATACAATTATTTTTACTATGATAATTATTTTTCTTCTATGGAACTCAGAATCCTGGCTACATTTGAAGACAGGAATATGTTGAGCCTGATTTTCCTGGTGTGTGTAAAATATTTCCTAGGAATAAATTAGGCACTTTTTAGAGACAATGTTAAATCATTCAGGTTATATTTTCTGCCCTGAAGCAGAAATTTACAAAACGATATTGGGATCTGAAAGATTTAATATGGTTAACAGTGCCTGAATTACACATACTCCGAGAACTAGCTTTGTATTTCTTATGACTTTTCATAAGAACTATTCATCTTTGGATCTTGAGCACCTTATAGACAAAACTTTTTATGGCATTTCTTCCGTGGACAGTGATTGATCTTTTCACAATGTACGTAGACTTTAGAATTTTGTACGTTATGTTTGCTCTTTCTTTTGTACAGACTAGTTGTTGAGAAAACAGGGGAATTTCCTAATTTGTCTTTATCCTGCACTTAAACTAAGCTCAAAAACACTTTCAGCAGATTATTCTTCACATATCTCACAGATCACAAGCACCTCTTGATGGTGCGATTCTGTCCGATAGCATTTATGCAAAAGTTTATGAATTTAAGAGATCTTAGAAGCCAAATTGAAATGTACATAAATACTGATTACAGAGGAAGTTCATTAGGAAGACGGTGGTAAAGAAACATCTTTGAGTAGCCTGCCTTGATCACTGTCAAGTTCACAAACAGCTTTGTATTTTAAAGGCTTTGGGTTTGAAATTAAGTCAACTGCATGCAGCTTTGCCGATATATGAATAATTCTCTCTTGATGCCATTTATGAGAAAAGACTTCAATATCTGTTGCCTGTCATATTTAAGAAAAATTACTGTTTCTACTCTCTGTATCTGATTTTAAAACGAAAAATATTCATACCTGGCTTTCAGGAAATTGACTTTGAATTCTTACAAGCAAAGGTCATTGTGTTTTTCTTGAATAGACATCTAATAAATTTCGCTTGAAAGTATACTTCGGTTTTTCTTCTTGACATTTATCCATACACAAGCTGTGTATTTCATCCCAATTTGTTAGTTAAACTAAGAGAAAATGCATTTGCTCTGTGTTCTGTTAACACACAAATGGAGAAAAAATGTATCAGCATCAACTTGAGAAATATTTTTAAACCCACTACCAAAGCTTATTTGCTAAACACTCTCTGGCTAAAAATTGCTCCTCAGCTAAAATAATATATTTTAAAATATTTCTGACTCAAAAACATCTATTTTTCCAAGGAGGAGTTAATTACGAGAAGTCTTAAGCACTTCCCCAATTCAACTATCTTAAATTTCAAAGTCTTTGCCCTCGGCAGCAGCCTCCACGCATGCCCACGAGCTTTTGGGGAAGATCAGACTGCAGGCAATTTCAGATAATGAGTTACAGTGGGCTCCCTTTCTGTCACACAATGGACAGAGCAAGCAGGCCTACTTGGATCCTTTCTCACATCCCTTAGTCCCTTCTAGCTCTGCGTTTCAACCCTTTTCTACATCTCTCTCTCAAATCCTCTCTGGTCCCCTCTGTCCCACCGGATAATTTCCACTCCATGAGTGTTCCACTAAAATGCGTTCCCTTTGTGTGAAGAATATATCCCATAATATTCTTTTGGTCCTGTTTTCATCCAAGCACTTAAAGGGAATACAATTAGATCAGTCTGAATCTGGCCATCCAGGGGTGGAGGAACAAAAGGAAGGGACCCTTTGATACTAAGGTGCCAAATTTCAATCCCTCTGTTAGCCACACCAGCAGTCCCCGACCTTTTTGGCACCAGGGACCATTTTCATGGAAGACAATTTTTCCACGGACTGGAAAGTGGGGGACGATGCTTTCAGGATGATTCAAATGCATTACATGTATTACATTTATTACACTTTATTTCTATTATTATTACATTGTAATACATAATGAAATAATTATACAACTCACCATAGGTTGGAGATCCCTGAGCTACACCATCACTAAAAACAAGCACGTTCATTTCTTACTTGATCAAAAGCAGAAAGAACCTGTTTGAGTAACTGTTTTCATAATCATTCACTGCTTGATCTCCCTTCATAGGTGGTCAGTTTATGTGGCCTGATAATTTCTCCCCACTGTTTTCCAGATTCCAGCCACTAATGGAGATATTCTTTAAAGAATCATTTGATCAAATAATACTAAGCACTATTTAAAGTTAAATAGAGCACTATTTAAAGATTTACTTATTTCATCCCCCTCTTCAGACTGCAGCCCTCTAACAGTTGTTTCTGTATCAGTTAGGATTTCAAATTATTTACTCATTATCAATGATTAGAGTCAGAGCACAAGCAGAGATTGGTATTATTAATAAGCAGACCACAGCGGGGACTGGCAAACTATGGCCTGTGGACCTGCAAATTAAGAGTGGTTTGTACAGATGAACGTTCGCAATCAGTTTGATGATAAGGAACCCTTACTCTGAACCCAAATTAAGTGAAATATTATCGCCCCAGAAAAAGAATTTCTTTCTTTTCATTAGTAGATCTACATCAGAAAAAAGCCATATTATTATGGTTATAGTCTTAATTTAATCCATAAAAATTGGTGGAAATGTGTTTTCTCTTTGTTATGTAAATATATACATTGTAGCCTTAATTTTGCTTCCTGGCCCACAAAACCTAAAATAGTTACTATCTGGCCCTTTACAGAAAAAGTATGTGACTCCTTGGGTTATGCTAATTGTCAGTAACAAACCTGGAAACTGACCAGGGGCAAAAGAACAGGGAGCATCTGTATGTACCAGGTTGTTACTTACATGTGTCTTTATCCTCACAACAAATCTAAGAGGAAATCTGCTTTGTGCCCATTTTATAGATGAGGAAGCTGAGGCTCTGAAAGATTAAATAATTTATCCATATGTATAAGGTATTATACATAATACATGATGGAAAGAGGATTTAGAATCTGGTTTTTCTATCTTCCATGCCTTTCTTCTAGACCACCCAAGCTTGGTGCTAAACACACTGTGCACTCAGAGTTAAACAGCTGCATCCAGCCACCTCTTTCCCTCTCCACCATTCTCACAAACACAGCCACCCCTCATTACAGCATCTTACGGCGCACAGGATGACAAGAAAAAGGTATATGCCCAATTCAGCACAATAGTGTTTCCCTGGGGAAAGCGAATTCTGATTCCTAAAAGTGCACAGTGACCAGTGAGAATACAATTCAGTTATTGATATGTTTTAACTGAGCATGAGCATATCCAAGAGCTGTGATTCACTAAGACACTAGAGGCTGTTGCCAGTGAGCCAGCGTGGCAGCTGGTGCTGCTCTGGGCAAGTGCTTGGCGTTGTCGAGCGTCACGGAGGTAGCAAGCCCAGCGTGCTCTAGGAACACCGTGTGCTTACCGGCCATCTTTTAAATATACAAAGCCCCAGGATACACCAGCCCTTCTCTGCTGGATGACTCACTAAGTGACCCAGAGCCTTAGCTCACTGCTAAATTCAGCCCCTCTGCAGCTCAGGAAAGTTCCATCTGAGCTCATACACATGGATGTATCCTGACCCAAAAAACTTTCAGTACAAGACAGAAATCTGCCTAGCAAATCTTCACCTGTTCATTTGGGGTTTCCTGTTTCATTCTTTTCCCTAAAATATGATGGGTGACTCAGTAGTCCCTGGGTCTTCCAAAAATAAGTGCCATCTCAAATACAACTCTTGTTACCATTAACACCACCAGTGGGCGGGTGCCAAATCTCGCATTGATACTGCAAAAAACTTGAGAATCACTTTTTTTTTTTTTTTCTCTTTTAATCCCACAATTGATAGATGCTTATTGTAGGAAAAATTAGAAAGCTATATATGAGCAAAAAGAAGAAACAGATTTACTCAGAGTCCCATTCAGGGTAAGGATTACACCTTGGAATATACCCCTCCTGAGTATTTTTCTGCACAGGTGTATTAGAGTGTTTTGGTGTGAGTTTGGTATGTAGGTAAACATGGGATTACAGTGTACTTACTCCTGAGCAGGACTCTGAAATAAAGTAAATTAATCATGTTTTTAAGTCTATTTGACATTAGCAAATTGGTCTACAAAAAGGTCTGTGAAGAGAGTGAGGAAAAGTCAAAGTCAATCCCCAAGATTCATGAAAATACAATTAATTCAAAACCCTGAGGCAAAAATTACAGAATTACCACCAAGTTGGAAAATCTAATGTTATCTGAGGAATTGGTAGAGGAAGGAAAGGAAAGATGGAGAGAGAAAAGGAAAGAATATTTATTATCTTCCTACAATAAGCCATCACATGCATTAGGCATCTTTGTAGCTAAGGGGTGGCTAAGGAAGACAGATGAAATTGAGACGTGTGAAGTGCAGAGCAGCTGGATGTCACATCCAAACCACGCTGGGGGTTAGCAAAGTGCACAAGTTTTGAATCAAACTGACAAAGCAGATAATTTATTTTGAAATTAGATATATTCCAGAAAAGTTAGTTCTAAAATATTTTTCTTTTTTTTTTTTTTGAGACAGAGTCTCACTGTGTTGCCCAGGCTAGAGTGCTGTGGCATCATCATAGCTCACAGCAACCTCAAACTCCTGGGCTCAAGGGATCCTACTGCCTCAGCCTCCCGAGTAGCTGGGACTACAGGCATGCGCCACCATGCCCGGCTAATTTTTTCTATATATTTTTAGTTGTCTGATTAATTTCTTTCTATTTTCAGTAGAGACCGGGTCTCGCTCTTGCTCAGGCTGGTTTCGAACTCCTGAGCTCAAACAAGCCGCCCGCCTCGGCCTCCCAGAGTGCTAGGATTACAGGCATGAGCCACCATGACCGGCCTAAAATATTTTTTATAATGTACTAGCACAGTGCTTCTCACCCAGGGTGGGAGGTGGGGTTTGTCACTTGGGGACATTTGGCAATGTGTGGAGACATTTGTGGTTGTCACAACTGGGAGGTGCCATTGGCGTCCAGCGTGTAGAGGCCAGGGATGCTGCTGACATCCCACAGCACACAGGACAGCTAAGGATTATCCAGCCAAGGTATCTATAGTGTTGAGGCTCAGGAGCCTTGCCCTGGGCTAACTCATGCTACTTAGGAGAATCAGAGTGTAAATCATTGAAGGAAAGATATTTTTTTTAAATCTGAAATTAAAGACTCATAGCCCTAATGGTCTCCTCGTCTGCCCTAGGACTAGCCCATCCAGATCCTCTGGCAGAAAGGAGTTCCTCCTCCCAAATTCTGGAGGTAAGGCCAGAATCTGACTCCTCAGAAGGAGTCAGCTAGTCAGCGTGGCGTGATGAGGTGTGAGTTGAATGAGTGCTTCTAGATAAACGATAATCTCTCGAAATGTCTCTGGGCAAAATGGCTACAGTAAAAGCATCTCGGTCTGGTGCTCAAGCCGGCTCTGGGCAGAGAGGCCGTTCCCTTCCGCAGGGATCTCAGAGATGATGTTGTACGTGTCAACACAGGTGTGTGAAGTAAGATGAGCTCAGATATTAGTGAGCCCGTGACAGGTTGCATAGATGGGGTAGGAAGACCTTCCAGAAGACGTGCAGACTCTAGGGCCCCAGGAGAGGGCCAGCCTGGGCTCTGAGTGAGCTCTCGAGGATGCCACCTCGCCAGGCTGCACTTGGGCATCCACTTTGCCCTTCTCAACACTTACCCCATCTACAATGTGAGACTCATGTCTGTGTCCTTAGTGAATAAAAGAGTGGGAATGTTCTCATCTCCGGTCGACATTCAGATACAAAACCAGGAGCTCAGGCCTTGTTAGGGGCTGAATTGTGTCCCCATTCCCCCAAATTCGTACCTTGAAGTTGTAAACCCCAGTACCTCACAATGTATTTGGAAATAGGGCATTTAAAAGAGGCAATTAAAATAAAATGATGTCGAATGGGCAGACCCTAATCCAATATGACTGGAGTCCATTGAAGAGGAAGAGATTAGGACACAGACATGCACTGCGGGAAGTACAGGTGGAGACACAGGAGAAGGTGGCCACCTGCAAGCCAAGGAG